CCACAGGACTGTTTTTAAAAACAGAAAGCGGTGGCGGGGTGGGGGTGGGGGGGCACCTGGGTGACTCAGTGGGTTAAGCACACGACCCTCCATTTTGGCCCAGGTCATGATCTCCCGGTTTCCTGGGTTCGAGCCCCGTGACAGGCTCTACACTGACATGTCAGAGCCTGCTTGGGATTCTCTCTCTCTCCCTCTCTCTCTGTCCCTCCCCCGCTCACTCTGTTTCTCTCTCAAAATAAATAAACTTAAAAAGAAGAAGAAGAAGAAGAAGAAGAAGAGAGGGGGGGGAAGGGAAGTGGGGAAGGAAGGAAGAAAGAAACGGCGGCTTCCTGGAGGTGGGCAGGAGAATGCCAGGAAGCAGGGGGCTCTGAGGAAGCCCTTCACATTTGTCCCAGAAAGACGAAAAATCCTTCGAGATCCCATCTCATGGACAGACAGACCTTTTCCATCCCCTGTGACAACATCCAAAGAGTCTGTCTTCCAGTTGGAGAAGTAGCAGAAATCAGAGACAGAGTAAAAACTGGGCTGGAGGAAAAAGAGGGGTGCAGAGCGGGCACGGGGCGGGCTGCAAACGGACAAGCGCCGGACATAACAACGTGACGTGGATGTACGTTCAGGCCAAGTCTAAGTGTCCCTTTCTCAGTACCTTGTAAACAAAAAAATATATAAAAATAAAGACTCACCTAAAATGCTGCTTGCTTGCTTTGTGCGTGTGTGTGTGTGTGTGTGTGTGTTTCTTGCAGCTTTGCAAACACCAACTAATGAATCCGTCTGGCCAGGACAGCCGCTCCGGAGGGAGGTAAACAGTCACAGGCTCTCAGAGCCTATCTGCTAAGTAAACCACAACCACAATGGGCGAGAAGTTAAGCAGCTCGTGCGGTGAGAGGCTGCCTAAAGTTAATTAATTGCCTCACGTCTGTTGCTGATAAAGCAGGTCTTAAAGGGTGGCTGTTTTCAAGTTGTGCAGCCTTAGGTGGAAGTTGAAAACTAAAAGAGTTGCTCCTCTAAGAGATTCGTGACTTCAGGATCAAACCTTATTAACTTTAGTGGCGCGGGGTGGATGGGAGAGATTTGAGGAGGAAGAGTGGCCCCGTTCAAGTCAGGAGCCCACGCTGCCATTACCCTGGAGTTTTACTTCAAAAGACAGTAGAGACGCGTTTCCCAGTTCGGGGTGGTGACGGGCATCCAAGAGGGTCCATCCGTCTCGTCCAGCCGTGACCCCTCCCTGTCATACCTGCACTCCCTTTGTCTAGTGTGTTATTACTTCCGTAAACTTTCTATGATAGAACATTCCACCGTAAACCCGAAGCTCCACCCCAGCCACGCGTTGCCCAGCCTCAATGACCATCAGCTCAAGGTGAATCTCATTTCATCTAAACCAGCTGTTCTCAGACTTGAGTTTGAATCGGAATCACCTCAGTGGGGGCTGGGGCGGGGAGGGCTTGTTTCAAGAAGTCTGAAGGGAGACCTGAGAATTTGCATTTTCCCAGGGGCTGCTGGTGCTGCTGGTTAGGAAATCACATTCTGAGAACCACTGATCGATATTCTCACTCCCTTTTTTTTTATTATTATAAAACCAATCTCCCATAGCTTGTCACTTCACTTGAAATATTCAGTGCTCTAAAAAATAATGCCATTATCACACCTGAAAAATACGGATAATTCATGAATGTCATCAAACACCTCGTAAGGGCTCAAATTTCCAAATGCCTCATAAATGTCATCATTTTTTTTTTTACAGTGTATTCTAATCAGAATCCAAATAAGGTCCATATTAGGATTATGTGATGTGTCTTAATGTCTTTTCGTCTTGAACCATTAATCCTCCTTTAACTCTTATTTCCTTGCAATTAACTTGTTGAAGAATGTTTATGGCTTTTTAAGAGGTAGAATAGCATAGTGGTGAGCTCCCTGGGGTCCAGCTGCGAGCTCGTGACCTTGCTTAGTTAGTCACCCTCTCTTAGCACCGGGCTACTGGTAAATGTTTAACAAGCAGCTCTCAAGGGAGGAGGGGAAGTGGGGGAAATCCAAGCCCCGATTTGTACTTTTGCCAATGTCTCTGGTGTCTGCACCGTACCATGGCCGATTTCAAGTTACCAACATGCTGTCACAAAACACAGAGCCTGGAGGTGTGTGGGGTGGCACATTGTCACACAAAATGTCCACGGTCCCGACACGAGAGACCTGCATACTCCCAAGCGCAGACACGAACAACTCATAAGAAAATAATTGGAAAGTGATGACTTTTGAGTACTTATCACCTTTGTTTTTAATATGATTTATGTGTTATGGGTCTATTTAATTTTTATTAATGGCCATGTTTAACCACTAGCTTGCCAAATTCCTGTAAGTTTAATGGTCAGTGCCGGCTGCCGTATACAGCTGTCCCTCCGTCTCGCAGCCATGAATGGGAGGCATCACAGCTCTAACGCTTAGCCGCGAGGCTGAAGGAAGACCGTGCACTGGGGCGTGCGGTGGGACCCACTGCGTGCACTTGACCTAGAGGACATCAGATAGAGTTACTTGCTCCCGGGGCTGGGCTGGGAAGGCGGCCATGTGGGGGCTTGTGTCAGATCACCACCTACAGGGGGAGCCACTTTCAGAGTTCCAGGGGAAGAAGCAACCAAAAGGGCGAGAGCGGCAGAGGTGGCCCTTGGGCCTGGCTCGATCACCACACAAATTCCAACCCGCCAGAAGAAATGCTGTGTAGAAGAACTGACTCAGGCCTGTGCCCCTCCCCTCCACTTCACGAGGCCACTTGATCTGTTTGCTAAAACCGAGACCCTTCTTTTGAGGTAGATCAGGTTACTGGCAAGGTGATTATTGTTTCTAATGGTCTGCAAACAGGTTCTCAGCTGTTAACCCCTCCAGCCTCCGGGGACACAGGGACAAGCCAGACTGGGCAGAGGCAAACCTCCCTGGGAGCCCAGGGGGTTGAGGGATGCTAAAAGAAGGAGTCTGAGCAGGGGTGGGGGAGGGTGCGCAGCGCCTGGGTGGCTCAGGTCATGATCTCTCCGTTTGTGAGTTCAAGCCCCACATCTGGCTCTGTGCTGACAACTCAGAGCCTGGAGCCTGGTTTGGATTCTGTGTCTGCCTCTCTCTCTGTCCCTCCCCCCATGGGCACTCTGTCTCTCTCTGTCTCAAAAATAAACATTAAAAAGAAAAAAAAAAAACGAGGCTGGGTTTAGAAGGGTCCTGTGCTAGTGAACAAATGAAGTTCAACTGCAGGCTGAGCACTGACACCTGCATTAGTTCCCCGCATAGCCTGTGACTCTGTCCTGACTCCCTCCGCTCCCAGGAGCACCCCCCTCCCACCCCCGCCTGAGCGTGACCCAGTGGGGCTGGAGAATGCATTGTCCACAGAATATGTAAATAAAGGAGGCAAGGTCAAGTGACACTAAACCCTGCCTGCCGGTCACCCTAAGCTCTCTGGGCTGCTACTTCCCAGCAGTGTGAGCTCAGGCAAGTTATTTAACTTCTCTGAGGCTCGGTTTCCTCATCCATTCGATGGGGATAACAACGATTTCCACTTGTGGGGTTGTGGGGCGAATTATAAGTAATGCATGTAGGGTACTTAGCAAAGTTCCTGGCACATAATAAGTACACAAGAAAGACTAGCTGCTATTATCATCGTAATGCACGTGGATACTGTCATCGTTGATAACAAATCTATTAATAGTTATTCCTTTCCATGTATTTTCTCATTCAGTAAATATTAAAAATAGCATAGGGCACGTCTTTGGGGCAGTTAGACTTTAATTTTTTTTTTCATGTTTATTTTTGAGAGAGTGGGACAGAGTGCAAGTGGGGGAGGGGCAGAGACAGAGGGGACACAGAATGCGAAGCGGGCTCCAGGCTCTGAGCTGTCAGCACAGAGCACGATGAGGTGCTCGAACCCATGAACCATGAGATCATGACCTGAGCCGAAGTCAGATGCTCAACAGACTGAGCCACCCAGGCGCCCCAGGACGACTACCCTTTAAGAAGGGTCTTCACTCTCCAGAAAGCACTCATCTAGATTCTGGGAGCATTTTCTCCATGCCCCTCAGGGGGGCTCAAGCCCATGAAAGATGACAGTGTTGTGCACACTTGAAATGGCAAAAAGGCAACAGGGATTATTAAAGAGCGCCACCGGAGAGGACAAGAAGAGAGCGAAGCAAGCATGAGGTGTGGGAGTCTGAGGCAAGCAGAGGGAGGACGAGGCCCCCTTAAGACAGATGCCATTTGGGGCGCCTGGGTGGCGCAGTCAGTTAAGTGGCTGACTTCAGCTCAGGTCATGATCTCGCGGGCCCGTGAGTCAAACCCTACGTCAGGCTCTGTGCTGACAGCTCGGAGCCTGGAGCCTGTTTCAGATTCTGTGTCTCCCTCTCTCTCTGCCCCTCCTCTGCTTGTGCTCTCTCTCTCTCTCTGTCTCTCAAAAATAAATAAATATTAAAAAAAAAAAAGACAGACACCATTTAGAAAAATATGATGTCGCCAAGGCATTCTTCTACCCCGCCGTGGTACCTACAAACTCTTTCTAAGCATGCTGACACGGAAAAGCGGTGACTCTTTAACATGAAAACTGGAAATTGTTGACACTCAGAAATGGCCATTTCAACCTTGTTGCACGAAGGCTTTCCTTCAGCTGGACGTGTAGTCATGGAGCAGATTACGGCACAGTGGGCAGGCTGAGCCCGCTTATGTGCCCCAAAAGGTCACTGCATGAAGTCATGAACAGCAGTCAGCTCAGAAGTGTGAAATCTGGATGTAGGAAAAAGGCTTTTGCTTACTTCATTACTTCTTTATAAAGTTTTGTGACGATCACATACCACTTCTTTCCCTATTTTTGAAATTTAGATATAATTCATCTTTCTGAAGTGCGCAGATCGTAAGTATACTGATTGATCGGTTCTGGCAAATGTACATACCCACGTAGTCCCCACCCCTGCCAAGATCTAGAACATTCTCCTCATCCCCAAAAGTTCCCCCGTGTCCCTTCCCCAGTTAATCTCCTCCCCTGGTCCCTCTGTTTCCAGTCCTTGCAAACAAACACTGATCTAATTTCTAGTTCAGCCTGTTCTAGAACTTCATATGAGCTGAATCATACAGTACATACTCGTATCTGGCTTCTTTCACTCAACACGTCAGTGAGATTCATCCATGTAGTCACATTCCTCAGCAATTTGCTCCTTTTTATTGATGAGCAATATTCCATTGCATGGACCCACACCAGTTCGTGTTGTCGTCTGTCAACCGTCACCTGCTTTCAGTTTTTTTATTATTAGGAGGAAAGATGCAGAGAAATTCATCTCCAAGCCTGTAGGAGGGCACATGTGTTCTCTCCCATAGGCAAATATCTGGGAGCAGGGTCGCTGGATTGAAGTTGACGGTGTTACACATTCTCACTGGGGACCTCGTGATCAGGACGAAATGGAGCCAGAGAGGTGGGGGGGTGGGTGGGAGAGGAAGGCTGGAGTGAGGAGGATGTGGCGTTCTAGGGCAGAAGATGCCATGGACGGTGATTTGGAAGGCCCCAGCCTCAAACCGGGTCTTCGTCTTTGGACAAGTCGGGGGTCCAGTTTCCTCATCTGGAAAAGAACAGCCACCGTGTTAAAGAAGATGGAAGGTGGGAGCACGTGGTTTCAGGCAGACCCACCAAGAACATGGGCGGGTCCCTATCAGACCTCTCGCCCTGACTTGGAGGTGGGAAAGCATGGCCAGCGTCCCTATCACTGGGCATAAGTGAGGAGAAGGTCACGCTCTTCTTGGCTTTCTAGGTAGCTAGGGAAGAATGGATGAGTGACTAGCTTCAGAAAGTCAGTTCTGTATGGTCTCTAGCTCATAGCTTCCCAGGGCCAACTTCTTGTCTTCTGCACCTCTTCCTCCGTAATCCAGCAGAGCAGGGGGGCCAGGCCCGGATTCGCATGCTGGTAGCCAGTTGTCCGCTGGGAGAGGAGGGAGCCACGTGAAGGACCAGGGAAGGTACAGGGATGCCCTTCGGTGCTTGTAGAGGGGAGCTCTTCGATGAGACCTCAGCTGTTGTCCCCGGGGAAGGAAGCACAGCAGAAGGCTGAGAGCTGGTCCTTGGGCGACCGCGTCACCAGCCACCCTGCCCCCGTGGCTGCTACTCCACACGCTTGTCCTCCTGCTGTTCTGTGATCCGATGGAGTCCCGGAGAGCCGTGTTCTCACTCCTTGTCTCCCCCAGTTCCCTGCAAATAGTAAGCGCCCATTGGACAAATGAACACACCATGCTTCTTGTGCCTTCACGTTGGGAAGAGGCTGAGGCGACCCTTTGAAGGCCGCGCAGGATGGCTGCGTTGCCCGAGTGACCTAATGCCGGGATCGTTATTTCCAGAGCGTTACATTTTCCCACTGCCAAGCCCAAGTTAAGTCTCAAAATTCTCAGTCCCTCGCATGAGACTTTCCCTTTTGTTTATAGGCAGGAATATTTCCCCTCTGTGTTCCTGCCTCTGGCAAGGCTTTAAACATCGTCAGGATGTTTAAAAAGCACACCGCTCAAAGTAGAGCTTCGGGGAGGGGGGAGAAAAAGAGGATAATGTGAGCATTATTTTGGATTTTTTTCCCCCTCCTGGCCAGGGCCATGGCTGTGGCTCTGATTACAATAATTTTGCCTGGATCTATTAGGTCTTGTTTTATCAAAGTGACTTACTCTTGTTTTTCTTTCCTCGCTCCTGCAGGCATGGCCTTGGGAGGGAGACAGTCTGGCAGCGGTGAGAAGCATAAGGAGCAGGAGGGGAGCCGGGGGCACCGGGCCTGGATGTGGAGCGGATGCCTCTCCTCTGGACGCGCACACAGCGCCCTCTGATTCTAGCGCCCAAGGAGCAGCATCGCCACGGACTTTGACTTCGCTTTACGAAATAAAAATCAACACAACGTGTAAAGTAAGCTGAGGTTCTTCGGGCTCTAGTCCTGGCACAGCTCCAACTGACTGGGAGGAGCCACTGGGCAGCTGGGCCCCTCAGGGAGCTTCCATTCAGAAACTCCAGTAAAAGAGTAAGGTAACAAAGACAAAGGATGTCCTTAGAGGTTACGGTGAGTGCTGAGCACCAAGGCTTGGGGATGAGAAGAAAAGCAATTCAAGGAACTGCCATCTCACCGCCTGTCTCTCACTTTCCTTCTTCCCGGTGTCCCGGCCAAATACAACCGCCCCTCAGCCACCCCCCCATCCCCACGCCCCACCCCCACACAACGATTTCCCTCTGGGCTCCAGGTGTTTACTTGGTCTGGAATGCTCTTCCCTCAGCCCCTTAAGGGTCAACTGCTTCCTTCCCAGGGTGTGGGCCCTGGGTGTGGGACAGTGACCCCATGTACTCCTGGGCACAGGAGCATTTGGGTGAATCACTGGATCGTATTCTCCCTGTTGTGTCCAATGGGCCAGTGTTAGCTTCCTGGGAGGATTCTTGTGAAGGCTAAATTAGAGAGTATGTATTCAGCATAGTGCCGGAACATAATAGGTGCTCAAACAAATACGGGAGGGAATAATAATACAGAATAATGCATGAGTGTTCGGGGAGTCGTGGAGCGTCAGATACAATCAGAAAGGGATCCAAGATCCTGAGCTCTGACTGCTTGAAACGCTATCTTCCTTGTCACAGTGCATGGCATACAGTCAGCACGTGACCAACACTCACCCAATGAGTTATTCCATATGGAAAACCATGGATGGTAAACTAAAAAGTCTAGTGTTTATTTTGTCTTTTTATTCAACTAACATTAAGTGCTAACTGTGTGCCAGGCACTATGGCAGCCTCTGGGGAGACAAAGAAACTGGGCCCTGTCCTCCAGATGGCTACAGAAGTCAGATTTTAGGAGGGATTTGGGGATGGGGGTGGAGAGGAGGGTTGGATGAACAGAACCCTGGGGAGGGTAGGGGGGAAGCCGAGAGAAGCTAGCGTGGCCTGCCAGGCCAGGCAGAGCTGAGGGTGGCCAGAGGGCTGGTTTGGGAGACAGGCCAGAGGAGAATTCTCAGCAGGTAGAAGGACAAGGTGGCATGAGAGATTTCCACAGAGGGGACTCCAGAATCCCAGGAATTTGTCTGATCCCTGAAGAGCAGGGGTTTTCCCAGCACCCCTGGGAGGAGGTAGCACCTCTAACCACATCTCACCTTCCACCCCCGGCCCTTCACTAGAAACTCTGTCCGGTCCACAACAGGGCATACTGGGGCTCACACTGACCTTCAAATGTAGGGAGCAATTTCCCAGTGCAACCCACAATACAGAGCCCAAGACCCGTGGCTCAGAGACTTTCCAAGAGGGAAGGAACTGGACTGAGCTCAGAGGAGCTTAACTGAACATTAAGCAAACACCTTTCATTATAGCAACTCAGGGTCTTTCCATTCGTCTCCTTAATGTGCAATTAACTGTTCCCACTTTATGCCATATTATTTCTCTTCCTCTGCTCTCTTGCTCCCTACCTCTCTCCATGGGGTGAGATTTTAATTTATCCATTCATGTAACAATTATCCATTGAGTACCAACATGCCAGAGATACAAAGAAAAACAAGACAGAACCCCAGCTTTCCACCTTGGCAACAGTTATTGAAAGTTAAATGTCATCACAGCCTTTGACTCAGCAGGTTCAACTCCCAAGAATTTATTCTAAAGATACACTCCCACAGGTGCCAACACTATTACATAAAAGGACAATTCTTGAACTATTTTAAATACCAATTCAATATTGGGAATAATACAAAGGTTCACCAATAGGGAACCGATAAAATTGATTATGATAAATGTAAGCAATAGGATACGCTAATGGTCAAGAAAAGGGTTGATCTTTTATGAGTATGTGTGCCTCCATGCTGATTTCGCTTTATTTCTTATTGAAGCGTACTTGATACAATATTATATTAGTTTCGGGTGTACCACAAAGTGATTCAACATTTATATACATCGAGAGGTGATGACCACTGATAAATCCAGCTGCCATCCATCACCATAGACAGTTGTTACATATTAATAACTATATTCCCGATGCTGTACATTGTATCACTGGGTCTTCTTTATTTTACAACTAGAAATTTGTACCTTTTAAGCCCTTTCCTTTCTTTTACCAGACTCTACCTGCATGCAGCCCCTCGTCAACCACCAAATTGTTCTTTGTATCTATGAGTCCCTTTTTTGTTTTTTAGAGTCCACATGTAAGTGAAATCATGCAGTATTTGTCTTTCTCTGAGTTATTTCACTTAGTGTTATGCCCTCCAAGTCTTTCCATGTGGTCACAAATGGCAAGATTCCATTCTTTTTCGTGGCTAATATCCTATTGTATGTACCCAGCACATCTTCGTTATCCATTCATTGCTGACAGACACTTAGGCTGCTTCCGCAGCTTGGCTATTGTAAATAACACTGCAATGAACGTAGGGCTGCACATATCTTTTCAAATTAGTGTTTTCCTTTTCTTTTTTAATAAATCCCAGAAATGAAATTGCTGGATCTTATAATGGTTCTGTAAAAATATTGATCTTTAGGGGCGCCTAGGTGGCTCAGTTGGTTGAGCGTCTGACTTTGGCTCAGGTCACGATCTCGCAGTATGTGAGTTCGAGCCCCGCGTCGGACTCTGTGCTGACTGCTCAGAGCCTGGAGCCTGTTTCAGATTCTGTGTCTCCCTCTCTCTCTGAGCCTCCCCCGTTCATGCTCTGTCTCTCTCTGTCTCAAAAATAAATAAATGTTAAAAAAAATTAAAAAAAAGATTGATCTTTATGGAAGATAAGGAAAGATCATTAAGAAAGATGATTCAGTGCAAAGACCATGTATATCACTTTTTTTTAATGTATGCAATTATATACATACGAGGTCTATCTAGAATCTACAGCTGAGCTGTCCAACATGGTAGCCATGAAACTTGAAATGTGGCTGGCTGGAATTGAGATATGCTGGAAGTACAAAATGCACAGCAAATTTCAGAGACTTAGTACGAAAAAAAGGAATGTAAAATATTTCAATTGTTCTTTATTTTGATTACCTGTTGAAATGACAACATTTTGGATACAGTGGGTTAAATAAAACATACTACTGAAATTGATTCTACTTTTTTAAAAAGTGCTTTTGAGTATATCCACAAGAAAGTGTATAATTATGTATGTGGCTCATATTATATTTCTATTAGACAGCAAGCACTATTCTAGCTCGGAGCCAGCAAACGATTGTCCCGGGGCCAAATCAGGCTGAAGCCCACTTTTATAAATTAAGTGTTATTGGAATACACCCACGCCCATTTGTTTAGGTACTGTCTGTGGCTACTTCCCGGCTATAAGGATAAGACTGAGTAGTTGTGACAGAGACAGTGTGTCCACAAAGCCAAAAATATTTACTATCTGGCCCTTTATAGAAATGGGGCCTCAGTGTTGCCCCAACCCCCATTCTAGAAGAATCTATAGGAACCACCGTCTATAATGGCTACCTTTAGGGTGGACATGAAGGCAGATTTTTAGTTGCCCCCACGCCCCACCCCACAATAAGATATTATTTTTTTTTTTAATTTTTTTTCAACGTTTATTTATTTTTGGGACAGAGAGAGACAGAGCATGAACGGGGGAGGGGCAGAGAGAGAGGGAGACACAGAAT